CACACACACACACACACGCACACGCACACGCACACACAGACACTCCGCCGCAGATTAGTGTCTCTGCAGCTGGCCCAGTGTGGGACAGGACACCGACTGTGTCCTCCACAGATGCTGTCTGCAGCTTGTCATCCATTCTGACCAAGAGACTGAAGTGTGGTCAGAACGACAGCCTCCCTCGTGGGCTTTATTTCTGGTCCACACGGGATTTTTCAAGATCAACAATGACAAAAATCCAAACTTCAACAGAGGGATAAGAGAAAAAATATACAGTGGTGTAATTTTTCCCCCACTCGTCACCACAACAGTGTAAATGGGTTTGTGAGAAAGAGGTGAAGTGTCCCTGTCTTCCAGGGTCAGACCAAGGTTATTCCTCTGTCCCTGGTGGGCAAACACCTGATGTAAGTGAAAAGAGCAGAAGTCCCCAAGGTAAGACCACTAACTAGGAGTTGCTAGGAGACCAGATTGGTGTGTGTGTGTGTGTGTGTGGGTGTGGGTGTGGGTGTTTATTGTCTGGAGGACCCATCTGGATGCTTAGATGCTTAAAAAAAAGTTCAAAAACGTAACGTGTTCTGTGACAGCTGCTCTTTTATCTGAGCTTCGTTACGACCAAAAATAGAATTTTAAACTCGATATAATCAGATTTATCAAACTGAATCTCATTAAGTCAGGCCACCTTTGATAGGAACACGTGGCACTGAAGGAGCAACACACTTAGGAGCTAATATAAAAATATTAGTAAACTAAACCAAAGAACAAAATAAAAGCAGAAAAATGACAAATCCACTTCTAATGCCAGAAAATACATTTTTTACTATTGACTTGAGCCTCAATTCAAGCTAAATACAGTAATAAAGGCTCATTATATTCAGTACGAGAGACGTAACGATGAATCATGTATCGATTAAAAACTGATACAAATCTGTGACAATCCACATCACTTGAAATAAAAAACGAAACACGCATCAAAGCATAAAGAGTAGGCGGCGTTATCTCAAAATGTCAGTGGTCATACCATGACACTACACACTTTAGTACAGTAGGTGGCGGTATGCGACAAACAACTTTGGATGTGACCCGCTATTAGACCAAGACGTCAGGTCCCTACGTAGCCTGAGTGACATTCAGGTGTCGAAACAGAGCGTGGGAAGAACGTAATCCACAGACAAAAACTGTTTTTGTAAAGATGTAAAAGTTGTCTTTTTTCTTTTTAATACGGTGACAACAACGGGGCCATGTCTCCTCCTCCAGACTATATTTGATTTGAATTTATTTCATCTATAACATCACCCATTCTCTGAAGAATGAAGGACATTCACTGAGTCGCTCTGAGAAAACCAAGGCCAACCAGACAACTCCTAACCCTGGCAGGGACGATCGTCAAGGGCGAACAGGGTAAAATCTGTCTGTGCTGATGAAAAAATTGATGAAGAGAAAGTGATTCAGAAGAAGATGATGACGACAACAGACAGAAAGTACTTGGTGGACATGTGTGAACGACAGGTGATCAATCAAACAGAGACATCTTCTGGATGCTGAGGTCACACTTTACCATCACTACATACATTCCTCTCCATGGACCCTACATGGACCCTACATGGACCCTACATGGACCCCGCTATGGGCAAAACCATGAATACAAAGTACAAGTCCCAGCTGGACTCGGAATGATTAGAGGTCTCCACATAGAGAACAGTGGGGGGGGGGGATCAACTTTTTCTCCAACTTGGAAAAGTGGGTATAACACTTTCTCAAATTCAACTAGGCTAATAATGTGTGTGTGTGTGTGTGTGTGATGGTAGGGGATGGAGGGTCTAATAAAAGACCATCCATGTTGCCAAAGCGCATCAAAATAGATAGATAAATGATATCTGATCGTGCACAACTCGCCTGGGCTCGATCCAAAGTTCCAAACTGATTTATGCAAGAGTGTGACTCCTGCATAGGTTGACTTTTACATCATCCTTTCCGCAAATATAGAGAGAAGGAGCGAACGAGAGGGCGAGAGAGAGAGAGAGAGAGAGAACGAGGCCTGTCCTGAATCTTGTCCAAACTCTGCAGGCAGCCATGATGAAGGGTATATTTTTTTTATCAAGGTCTGCCAGCTAGGCTGCTCTGACTCTTCCACCCTCTGCAAAAACACAAATACAGAACATAGTTTGTCCTGATTGAACTTGTACATTGTAAGTCACAGGTATCAGAGAGGCTCCAGTGTTAGCAACTAAAGACATGACGATGTGAATTCACGTAGTGACGCAGTACTACTACTATCTGTACAGTGTATCTTCTTATTTTGACTGTATTTCAGCTGAGATTAGGACATTCTGAAGTGAATGACATATACTGTACATATATATATAAATTAACTAATTTAAATATTTCAAGATTGATTCCCAAATTTCAACACCTGGGCAAATTTCAGATGTGTAAAAATAAATGTCCTATTGAGATTAATATATGTTTGTTCATTATTATTATTATCCCTTAATTTAATTTCTTGTAAAAATGAAAGAAATGTAGCCATGTTACCTTTTAACCAACAAATTTAGCAGAACCATTTTTTCCCCTCATTGTCGTGAGTGCAGTGTCAAGTGTCTGTGTTACTTTATAAAAACCTAGCTTCAGTGGGGAATACTGTATTTGTGATGCTCTATTGATCCCTGAAGAGGGGATTTCACTCTGAGTCTTGCCTTGTACTCAGTGATGTGGGGCGGGGGGTCCAAAGTATCCCATCAGAACCAAAAGGGTTCCGACTCAAAGATGTGAAAATGAGAGGGGAGGCCCTACAAGGACAAAGTATCGACCCTCTCCAGGGTGGACTGTCTGTGTTTCGTACAGAAATTCATAATTTGACCTGAATTGTGTGTCTCTTTTTGAAGCTGTTCCACGTGTCTTTAAAACATTTTCTCTGAAGCTGCCTGGAAACCAAAGTGGAGATATGAATTATCAAGGTCCAAATGGTCCTCGTTCACCTGTGAAGTTTAAATGACTGTGTCTACACGTACATTAGCAGAATAAACACAACTGTTCCCATGTTAGTTCTGCAACATTGTACATTTCTTTGCAGATTTCAGGACAAAATTGACCAAAACGCTGATCTATAGGAACATTTTAACATTTAAAAGGTGACTGATAACGTCAGTCAGTATCTGAGGTTGACGGATTAAAATGTTCTGGGTCTGGAGCTGTTAAATAAAACCAGATGCTGTTAAATGAGACATAACATTATCAGAAAATGAATCACCCGTGGAGAAACGGTGATGATCATTCAATTATGATAATTGACCTTACAAAATGCTCAATAAGAAACCATGTTCATTAGTTACAGCTTTTGATAAATGACCAATCGAGCGAAGTTCATTTCTTACCATTTGCTCTGTATTTAATTTTTACTCACAGAGAACCATGACAGAGTGGCACCAAACTGTGAGGCAGTGATTTACCACGCTCCCTTTCTGCAAGGTTAAAAGCTGCTTCACCTAAGATCGTCTCCAGCTCGTCTGTTAAAAGGCGTTCCGAGCGTCATTGCGACCACACATGCACTCGGTGTGTCATAGTGCATTAAACCACTGTGCTGCGCCGCTGTGTGTTACATGACAACCAGCGGTAAAGACGTCCAACCACTGAAGGTCAGAGCAAACAAGACTCACAGTCTTTCTGTGTCAAACTCAGAGCTGTTACTTCATCACTGCACACGTTCACGGCCTCCGTGTACAGAAACCAATCAAACTGATGAAAAACATCGGGTCACAAAACAAACTTTAGAGAGACACAAATTACCTCAGCGTTTTCAACAATAACCCCTGCAGTGGTTAAGTTACTAAGTTTTTCTCACCATTATAAAAAAAATGCCACGAAGAAGAAACATGTCAAAACCAAGGTCAGTCACGGTGATGCTCTGCTGCATGGTGAACTATGTGAAAGAGCGCCCACTATAGGTGTCTTACACCTTCAACAATGATGTGTTGAATACAACCTCAATACAACTTCCCATCTATGTAGTAATAAAATGATATGATAAACATTAGAGAACAACAAGGAAGAGTGAGGGAAAAAACTTCATATATTTGATTTGTTTATAGTGTAGTGTGTGAAGTCCATGTCAATTACATAATGAATATTTTAATTAAAATTTTAACAACGACAATAACAATAATAATAATAATAATAATAACGACCTATAAGAAACGTACGCTCAGGAGTTACACGGTATAACATCCAGCTCCACGGACGGCTCCATTGTGCAGCTGACAGAAAGCCCTGCTTTACGTCTTCCTTTCCTATATTCAAACCAGGACCCACTGATAATTATGTGGAGGTGTCGTAAAGAGAGTCAACCTCAGACTGAGGAGAAAAGTTCATCAAAGTTTGGACTACAGTCTGGAGTTTGATGTTTTATACAAATGCTTGATGTAATTCTGACAGAGACAACAATAAATACAATAAAGGAGAATGTTGCGCCTCAGGTGGACAACAGGGTCAACTGTGTATGTGTGTGTGTTTCTGTGTTCCCTATTTATAATACGTAAGTCCACCTCATAACAGGTATTTAAAGTATGATTATTCATGATTACTGAGCCCACAGGTTAGAATGTTGTTATTATTATTATTATTATTATCGCACTCAATCACACATTTGCTGCGACAGTGAACATGAGCGGCTCCGATGTTTTCTCTGCTGGTCCTTTAAGTGGAGCAGGGCGCAGACCCCGGACCGAGCGGGGAAACAGTTTGGAGCCAGAGCGGAGCAGGGAAGTTGCACCGCCCCGGCTGAGGGCAGCAGGACTGAAGCCGATAAAAGCTCAGATAGAGATTGGAAACGATGGTAAAGGGATTTAGCTCCGGTATTAACACAGAAAAGGAGAGAGAGGGGGGGAGAGACAGAGAGAGAGCGAGAGAGTGAGGGAGAAAAAGTTTTGCAACAAGTCACAGCTGTTGTAAAAGGGGGGAGAGTGAGAGAGTGAGGGAGTGAGGGAGGGAGGGAGGGAGGGAGAGAGGAAGGGAGAGAGGGAGGGAGGGAGGGAGGGAGATATTTTCCATAAAGCCTCTTTATTTTCTCTTTCTTCCTGCCCTTGAGCATCCCTGGTAAAGCCGAGCTTGTAAAGTGAGGACAGCGGGAGGAGAAGAGAGAGTGAGGAGGGCGGGCACGAGCTTTTCCCTCAAAGTCAATATTTTATACTTTTCATACTCCTTAACGCGGGATTTCACTCCTCTTTTCCCTGGCGTTTCCATATCTAGGACACGGATCTACGGTGCGCAGCCATCCACGGTGTGATTAAAAAAAAAAAAAAAAGTATCCGACAGAAGGCACAAACAATCCGCGATCAGGGCAGGCAGATAACCGGAGTACAGGGGATGCTGGGGAGGATCTCTGCGGCCGAAGAGGAGGACGTGAGCGGGGAGTGCTGACTTATCTAATGGATGCATCTTTAAAGTAAGTGCTTTATCTGATCAGGTGATTAAACACAAACACACACACACACACACTCAAACACTCAAACACTCATATTCTGCAACACGATGCGTCCTCATGAGCTCCAGCTCCATAAAGTCTGCAAAGAGCCGCTGCTCTGAGGGTCCGGAGCAGAGAGTCGTCCCCGGCTTCAATCTGCATGACACACACACACACACACACACACACACATATATATATCTATATATAATGCTTTTTTGTTTACATATGGTTCTGTTGTGAGTGGTGGTCCGCTGAGGTGGGACGACACACCCCAGAAAGACTGTCAGAGCAGCGGGGTTCCTCTGGCGCCGCTCTCCTCTCTTGACAAGTGAAGAAGAAAGTCAGAGTCCACAGGGTTGCGTGGGACAGGTTGCGCAAGGACCTGGCTACTGTACTGCTAGTGTGGGATGACAGACTGTAGAATTATGATGAATAGAAGCCACTCTGAACCATTTTTGTTTACGTCACTTACAAAGTCACTTTAAATGTGATCTTCCTCCTCCATTACCTAAAAGTTTATTTTTAATGACAATACATTAAAGTAAATAAACATACAATTTGCATGCATTTTTTTTCTCTCGATGTGGCTAAATCTTCCACTAATTACAGACAGCATCTGTAGCCTCCAGCAGCATCAGCTGTGATTACAACTGCACACAGACGCTGCCCGGCACGAGCACGTGTTTTTACGCACAAGGTTATCCGAACACTGAGAGGCTTCGGTGCGTTTTCATTTTTGCAGTTCAGTTGGTGGAGTGCCCCAGGGTTTGTGGTCGGAGGGTTAACTCCACTCGAGCCGCTCATTAACGAATGACTGAGACACATCCACTTCACACGGAACCGCAAAATGTGAGGATGGAAGTGGTGTTTGATTAGGATCTAGAGACAGATTGGATTAATGTATCAACTTTTACAAGGCAAAATTAAATCAGTAAAAATGATTATAACTCTGAAACCTAAAGGGGAAAAAAAGTTTGAATTATTTTCTCTGGGATTTTCTCCCATTTGCCTTAATTTCCCACTGAACTGTCACAGGATGTGTCAACTTTCCACGTCCCTTAATAGTCACTACTTAAAATCTGACTGATATTTTAGTTTTTTTTTGCAACAGGGTTTGAGCCGTGACAGAACGTGTGTCTCATTTGTCAGAACAGTAAAAGCTGGAAACACCTCTAGATGTGAAAACATGTCTTTCCAGACGATGTGAGATCAGATGTTGCTCTCACATTAACATTCATGCTGTGACTGACGGATGAGCAGCCATCACGCGGCACACTAACTGACTGTTTCTCTGTGACATTTCCACAGGACAATCACTAGACTCCGCGGGTCTGACGCGTCCAATGGATGTACCTGAAGAGGGAGCGGCCTCTCCGTCACACTGTCCCACCTGCGCCGCCGTCTGCGTGCAGGACCCCGCTCTCTGAGACATGCACTCACGCTGACATCAACCACCCAACCTCCTGATACACTATGGTTAAAGTGTATGCCAAGATAAATCTCTGCAACGTCATCCGCCTCTCCATTCAACGTCCACCTTCCTCCGGGTGCCAGTCGCCAAACCTACCAAGTGTCCGACTCTCGGCTCACCAGGGGCCGCAGATATCTGTGGACAGACACTGATACCGAGCTGCACCGTGTCCTCCTGTCATTCTGTCACTTTATGAACCCAAGGGCGAGTTACACTGTGGTGGTAACGATGACCACCACTCATCTATGATCACCACTCCATGCGCGTCACCTCTCCTCTGAGCTCCGTGGCCCCCTCACCCTCTGCCGGACCCCGCTCCAAACAACCCCCCAGCCTGCCATGCTCCTCCAGGCCGTCTTACTGCTGCTTCTGCGCTGCGCGGCCTCCAGTGTGAGCCAGTACGAGTTGTGCAAGTCCCTGGTGAGCACGGATGAGGGCTCGGTGTGGGAGCATTACGCGTGCCAGCCGAAACCCGCGTCCATGAAAGACTACATGCGGATCAAGGTGGACCCGCCCGGGATCACGTGTGGAACGCCGCCAGAGAGGTTCTGCACTTTGGTGAGTCCATGTTCGGACACAAGCATCGTTTTAAACGTAATGTATCATCACATGAAATGAACACCGGAGGTGACGTTTGTTCAGAGTGTAATGAACCCCAACGATGAAAAGCGTGGGAACTAGAACCGAAGCAACAGGATTGATATGAAAACACACATTCAAGTTTTCAAAGACAAATAAAAGAGGAGAAAATTTCACTATGTAAAATTGCAAGTGTAATTTTAAGGCTTAGCAGCGGAGACCTCAAAGAGTTCCTGCAGGTGTTTTATATTCATCTGGGCTACAGGAGTCTGATGGATCCGGTCTGGTTCAGGTTTCCACAGGACCTCACATTTTCTCTAGTAAAATAGCCGGACCTTTAAGTTCCAAGGACACTGAAGGGTGAGCAGGGAGGGGAAAACCCATTAAAATGTCTGCCACAGCAATATTTAACACACTCCAGCCTGCAGGCTAGTGCCCATCCCAGCTAATGTAGGTGTAATAATTTGATGTAAGGGTTATAAAATCATCGTAATCCTAAGAAGACCGCAATTACACTCCACTCTGCCTCTTTTGTGGAAGGTTTTATGTTTGACAGCCAAGTCATCGGCCAATCCGCTCACTGCTCTGAGCAGGAGCTGCCTGGACCGCCTCCACCGTCAGGGTTAAAAACGTCACCAGGCTTCCTGCCTGTCAGGATCACATTATACCATCACACCCAGATGTCAATCAGCTGTTTGTGTTACTCAGGCTTGGTTATACCACAAGACTGATCTGACAAACACTTCGCTCCAGTCTCCGGCCCTTCCTCTGCCTGAGACTAATACAAGTAGTTAGGGTCATCTGACAGGAGCAGGAGAGGATATTGTGCTCGTCGGATACCTAATGGTTAATGATTTGTTTAATGTAGAGGTAGCGGAAACCGCTGTCGTCTTCAGAAAAGCTTCTCCGATGACTTCTCCTGAGCGGGGAGACGGACAGGGGCATGAGAAGTGGAGGGGGGGAGGTGGGGGGGGTGAAGAGAGATGCTTGCTGCCATAACGTATTGACGTCTGCCCCCTAATGGCTCTGGCCTGGAAACTTCTATAACTATGTTTCTGAGTGAGCAATGATGAAATATTGATGGACTCCTTAATGGGCTTCCTTACAAGGACTGGCCGGCATTGTTCCATACAAGGGATCCAGGGTGTGCTGCCCAGCTGACGAGGGAGAAAGAAAGAGGGCCGGAGGGTGGGACAGGAAGTTGTGTGGTCTGACTCAGCACTTTTACATGGGACAGCATGTCTATAGTGGAAAGTTCGGCGTTCCATTCAGGTCATCTGCGGCTTTGGGGATTGAACCGGACACCGTGGTGCACTAGTGCGGGATCAGAGGAGTAAAGAGAGAGTGAGATGAAAGTTTACTTAGGAAACCTACTCTCAGCCAATAAAAAAGCAGATTATATGTCTAATAAAAAACCAACAAGTGTTCGCTGTCTCCATCCCATCTCCCTCATGACATCGAAAATTCATCCGCACTCCCTTCAGCAGGGATCCAAGGTCACGGGCGTTTCCTTTAACTTTCTCTCAGACACAGCGTGCTAGCGGCTAAAGGCTATCGGTGTACAGATCGTTTATTTTACAGCCTCTCTCCGATACTCCCCTTCTTCCTCTTGCCCCGGGATTTTTGCAGCTTTACAGAAATTCTGCTTTCTTATTTAATTGGTGTACATTTATATTCACTCACTCATTCGACAATCCCACAAGTGAAGGTGAAGTCAGGGCACTGGAAAAAAAAAAGACTGCATTACCCTGAGCACAGAGTTGCTCATCCCTAATAAGACTTAAGACAGACTGCAGAAGATGCAGAATAACCCCCCCTCCTGCGGACCCTGTGAGAGCTAGAGCGCGTTCCCAAAAAAAAAAAAAAAAAACTTCTGAAAATTTGGTCGGGGGGGGGGTTGATGCTGAGGAATAACGTAGCGTTGCACTCATGCATTGGTTTACAGTAGTTTTGGTCTCAGCAGCTCCACGGGGATGCATTTTCCCCTCCTCTATTTATCACTGTTGCTCCATGGGAATGCAGCATTTTTTTCTTTCCATTCCTGCATGTTGGCTTCTTTCAACATGACGGGCTTCCAGGACTTTGACAAGGATGCTACTGTCACCAGCGCTGCGTTTGGAGCTTCAATCGTTTCTTTGTAGTTTCTCTTTTTGAGAGCGACTATAGAGTCAGAGCTTGCTGTTGAGAATGATGGAGTAATGAGGTTTGGTGGGGGGGGTTGGGAGTGTGTTGCAGAGGGGGATAGCTAATGATGAGGGAGAGGTGAGGAAGATCCAAGCTTAGCTAAGCAGAAAAAGAAAATCAGACCACAGTTGCACAGTAAACACACACACACACACACACACACCAGGCTGCATTTACGGCTGCACTTGCTTTTGTCTCTCGTTCTTTCTTTGGGGTTTCGAAAAGAAACCTTCAATCAATCCACTCCCTCGGGAGTGGGATCAGAGACCGTCCGGATGCAAACGGGATGCATGCATGTGTGTGTGTGTGTGTGTGTGTAGAGGAATGTGAAGCACGCGGTGACAATAACAGGCACCGGGAGTGCAGCGTAAAAAACATCGTAGCACGTCCAAAAATAAAGAAATAAAAAAAGGAAAGAGAGAAAAACATCTTCCTGTTTGACAACACATTTGCCCGTTTTAGAAGTAGAAATCAGCCAGCTCTAAAAATAGACCTGAGAAGAGAAAGAAGCTGTGCAGCAGCGGAAGAGAAACATGCAGGAAGAGGAGGAAGATGGCAGCTGGTAGTGTGCATCAGTGCCTCCCAGACTGGGCCTTTGGCCATACCCTAGACTCCCTGCCTGCTGTAGTCCTTCTGCATCCGACCGGCCTGCCCTGCACAGCAGTCGGACATCCTGCAAGTACCTTATCCGTTTGAAAGATGGCCCACGTGGTTAGTGTCCTGATAACACACCCCTGGAAGTGACTGTGGACGCAGCGTGAGCAGGTATGACACCGTAGGACATGATTAACAAAGTGAGAGGAGAGAATGAAATGGACAGAAACAGCACGGGGAGCCACGGAGAGTGTGACTGGACAACACGCTCCGGAGGTGAGGGATGTGTGGTGATGTAATGGCTTGGCTTCCCTCCCCATTAGGAAACAGTTGAAAGTGATCAGAGAGTGTTTAGATCTGTTGGCAGAACGGACGGACCGTAATAAATGAGATTTATCCCGGAATCAAGTGACACTGACAGGGATTGGCTGCAAAGGGGGCTTGGATGGTCCGAGGAAAACCCAGAGAAGTGCTGGATCAGAATCACAGGCCAACAGATGTAATGTGTACGTACAGCATTATTTGTGTTTTTATTGAATCTTCAGAACCGGTGTTCGTTAAGTTTGGGATCCAGATAAGAGCCGTAGGAAGAAGCCACTTGGCAGCAGCTGTAGAAATCTGAGTTCACTTCAGTCCAAGTGTTGACCAAACTGTGCTACGGCACGGCTTTAATACAAAGATGCCGGTGCCGGGGGTAAAGGGCACGATTCTCCAATGGTTTTTTTGTGAGACTTTTCTGCAAAGATTTCAAAAAGAAGTAGTTGGTGTTTAGTTTGGCCCAAGTGAAGAGCAAATGTTTACGTTGATTTGAATGACTTTAAAGTGCGATGTGTTCTTTGCCCAAACTGATGTTTCAGGCCAAGAAATAAGGTCGGCAGAAAAGGTGAAATCCGAGGAGGAAGAAGAAGAAAAAAAAAATATATCAGGGAGAGAGAGAGGGAGGAAGGGAGAGAGAGTAAGACTTTCACACCAGTTTACGATCTCTGAAGTTTCAAACACTGACGTTCTTCATCACAGTCGGTTTGAAGGAATGCATGTTTTAGGGAAACTGCTTCAAAGTGAGACGCTGAATGTTAAGAATCACTTTTATTGGTCATCACTGATGCACACACACACACACACACACACACATATATACACACACTCAACTGATTTTTTCCACTGCATTGAACCCATCCCTGGGGAGCAGCAAACACTTTCAGCAGCACCCAGGGAATGAGAACAGCTTGTGCAACACACCATGGGATTCAAACCTGCGATTCTCTGATAACACGTTCACACAGCTGAGAAAGGAGAAATGTAACTGTTCCTGAACCAGGGTTAATAAAAGCCTGGCCCGAGAACCAAGAAAAGACAAAAATCTTTTTTTTTTTTCTCAGCTGTATCAAAGATATAATTTTGTTTTTTTCATTTTGATCCTTAGCCTTATTGATTGGTTTAGTTAAAAATAACTTTTCTTTTTCTCTTAACTCTCACTGAAGAGCATGTGCTGTCAAAGTCGACCAGACTCTCGTGTCTGTGTCGTCCCGTCCTTGTCTGACTCTGGTCCTGAGCATCATGTCTGTGCTCAGTGCTGCTCTGCTTCTCCAGCACAACCATTACAACAGTAATCATTTACTCCTGCTCACACACACACGAAAACACACACACACATGCACACACACACACACCCCAAAGTACGACACATTTACACTCGCCAGCTGTTTTGTGGAAACACATAATTTTACAGCGAAGTGAAAACACAGCGTTGTAGGTAATTAAAGTCTGACTGTTGAATTAACACGTTTACTGCTGTTAGAACCAAAAACACACACACACGTCCACGTCTTCCCGGGATAACAAGGATTTTCCAGTATGATGAAAAAAATAAAGTAGTTCAACAAAATAAAAGATTAACGTCATAAGTGGAAAAGCAATATCCCTTCCCTGTCCCCGCAGTGGCCTTTTTAATGGGGGGGGGGGGGGGGGTCATTTCATTTGATGTTTCTCCAAAACAAAGTAAATTGTGTTCTTGGAGTGTTTGTGTGTGTGTGTGAGTGTGTGTGTCCTCACCTTTATTCCCCTTGCCACCAATATAAGAGCAGAGCCTTACAGTATATATAAGTGGAGGAAATAAGGAGGAGGAGAAGTCTGGGGGGAGGGGCGGGCAGGGGGGCTTCAGTGGACAGGAGTGGTCAGAAGGATCTGAGGTCAACGGGCAG